CTGTGAAGCTTGCTCTCAGATTTCGCTGTTGGGGTAGGCTCAGTCTTGGTACGACGCGTGAAGAACCCAAATCTAGAGGTTTTACTTGGGCTTGAAGCGGGCGCTGGTGCTGGTGCTGGTCCGGTGCTGGTCCGTCGTGGCTTTCGATCTTGCTGAACGTCGGGTGTCGGTCCACGAACTGGGGCTCTGGTAGCTGCTGGCAATGTTGAAGAAGGATTGGGCGAGGGATTTCGGGAAGAAGGTTTGGCTGGAATACTAATTTTAGATCTTCCAGCAGTAAGTCCATTCCTAGATTCCGATGAAGCGGTTCTTTTGTGCTGAGATGGGAAGTTGAGCATATTGCTCTGGATGATTGGGGATGGGCCACGGAGCCCCGATAATTCTGGTGTACCATCTCTGCTGGGTCTTGACGGTCGCCTTGATGTTGGCATTGACGCGGGCGACTGATCGGCGAGATGAGCGAACTCCGGGGGCGCCTGCATGCGAGGTCGTTCTTCTGCTTTTGGAATCACATCAGACGTCCGAGGACTCTGTGGCAGAGTAGCGAGACCGTTAGGTGACTGGACGTCCTTGTGTTTCGCGCCATCAGTAACAACGGTGGATGCTGCTGATGATGATGAGGTGGAAGACTCTCTGACGGTAGAGAGTGTGTGGGGATGACGAGTGCTGACTTCGTCCGGAGTCTTGTGTCGGGTGACTGGCGGTCTGCTCTGCAGAGGGCTCGCCTGCCGTGTTCGATTCGAGGCTCTCGATAGCGTTGTACCGGGAGAGTAAGACGACATCGACGTAGGAGTTGATGAGACACTGAAAGGTCCAGGGGAATCCGTGTAGCGAGACGAAGGCGTCGCTGAGAGTGCATACTGCGGTGTTGGGAGAGGAAGTATGTCTGTAGGGCCGATCTCATAGTCGTAGAGTGGGTTACTGTAGGAATCGACCTGAGCCTCTGAACGAGCGAAGATGTTGGATGATGGCGGTATCGAAATGCCCAGAACTGTCTCAGAGAAAGGATCCTTGTATCCTCCGGGTATTCCCTCCATTAATTGCCTATCATCTTGGGATGAAATTGAGCCGTCTCTTATCCGCGTAACCTGCCTGCCAGTTGCAGACCCAACACTTGTTTGTTTCCTTCTGAGCACATTCGAACGAGGACTCTCGATGGTTGAGGCAGAAGAGCCTGAGGCGAGCGAGGGTGTGCGTATGCTTGGAGGAACTTCAAGCTTTGGTAACCGGGAAGTCGATGTTTGTTGTGAGGGTTTCGAGTTTGCGATACTCGGGTGTTGAGGGAACATAGGCGTAGACCGGCTGGTCTTCCTTTGACGCGAGCTAAGTGCTTGTGCGGGACCTTGTTGACTCGTCGAGACTTTGGCGTTCACTTCTTCGTCCTTTGAAGGCCTCCTCTTTTGCAGTTTAGATTGGCCTGGGGTGGGTAGTTGTGAGGTGGTTGTGGTAGGGGTGACAGATCGTTGAGGCAACCGAGTAGTTGGCGCCCGGTCCTCTGTCCTCCTTGGGGGAGGGTAGTGTGACTTATAGGAAGCCATTTCGGGTAACCTTGTGTAGCCCGGGTAGATGTGCAACGGAACCCTGTGTACGCCGAGAGATTCATGAAAGCATGTGCTTATCCACCTATGAGACCCTTGAAATCGAAGGCTTTGACGTGGGGTAACCTGACAGTCGAAGGTTTGGGACCGTCAGCAGTTTCAGCTCGGGAAGCCGTGATGTACGAGCGGCTGATGGCGGGAAGGCTAGAGTAACGGGACGGAGGTGGCGATTCGGAAATATTACAAAGACGTGAGTTTGCAAGTCCATGAATATAAGTCATCCAGCCACAAGGTACATGCAGTCCTACGTCCCCGTGCAGAGTTACGGTGAGTTGTTGCGACTCTTTCTCGTGTGCCACATCTATCGGCGGGACCGAGATCGTAGGGTGTGGCGCAGCGGCAAAGCCCGAGATGGGGCTGTGCAGGGATTCGCAGTTGGGACCAGGAAAATCGACAACGATGCGTACAAGGAGCAACGAGACGACGAGTGATATTATACTCTGCTTTCAACGGCAACTCGCGCGTCCCGTCTATTCCTCCCTCAGGGTCGACTGTCCAAGCGCGGGGCTTGCACCCTAAGTCGCCTCAGTGGGGCTTTCGCGGGTGAGCCGTGTCGAGAACGGAGGACCAGTCCAGATGCTCAAACGAGGTAGGCCTGGCTGATGCGATAGTGTAGTGTTTCTGGCAGGCTCAACGTCGCAATCTGTTGGTTAGGAGCGATTCGACGCTTGTTGCGGTTGCGGGGTGCGTAGGCTTGCATATGTATAACGTCGCGACGGACGCATCACGACGCGTAGACTTGTTCGCAAAGAACCGGCGCCGGCGGCCTTGCGAAGTTGGGCTTGTCCGGCACGGAGACATGGTGGGCTATTACGGGCGCTTGCGCTTGGATAGGCGGGTGGAGGCCTCTGGCTTGATGGAAGAAGGCAGCCAGTTGAGTTGCTGGATGGCCATGGTGGGTGACGATTCGTAGACAGACCTTGTGCGGCGCCAGCCAAGCGGAATGCCCAATTGGCTGTCAGGTTACCCCTACTCGTCGTTTACCCACCAACTTGATGCCGTTTCAGATACTCAGCAACCCTTACCAGAAGCCTCGTGTTTGCTATCAATTTTTCACGCTCGTCTCGTGACAGGGCTGGCATCATGAGAAGCTGAGGCTGCAAGCTTAGCGAGAGGCCTATATGTGCGCCCGTCAAGTCGCGACGATACTCGTTTGCAAAACTGCGCTTCCAGCTGCAATAGTATGCCTCCAACTATCCTCAGCTGTTCCAAAGCACGCGATGATCAGCCATCGAATACTCTATCGCACTCGAAAAGGACCGATACAGGCACTCGGAGCTCGCATGCACCTGTCTTGAACAGGACAGAGCGCACATTCGTTGAGAAGCCTTTTACCGTCGAGGGTTGTCTGACTGTTCAATCAGGACCCGCAGGGCAACAGGCGGCTTGCCCATGCAGAAGAGTCATATGCTGCTCTGAGCGATTTTCGCGAATGCACGTCCAACGGTTCCTGCAACTCTTGTTGCTATTCTCGTGACCACTTTCATGCATTGGCGAAAAATCCTGCAGATGCGCTTCTGGGGTTGTGGCATTATGCCGTCCAGCCGGAAGGCCCGTTTCTGGCAAGCTGAGATGTGGCTAAGTGCATCAACTCGGCTCTTAGTTTGAGGCTGAGCAGCCGATCGCCCTCGCCACTTTGACAACGCATCAAAAGCCTCGTAGGTCGCGAGCCATCAAGAACATTACAACTTGTCCTTTCTCTACGATGGCGGAAATATCCTCTTCTGCGAATCGCAACGGTCTCATCCACGATTCGGGATAAGGGCCGCTTTCTGTCGGCCATGTCCCACTGCCCAGGTCGCGCCTAATCCCACTACACCTGGTGATCCCTGTTCTGCACGCTCATTCGCACGCCATCAATGTGCGAAATGTGAGAAAAACGGGTAGCCACCGCACTTGACGGTCATGTGACGACGCTTTACTGAATAGAGAAGAGTCTGGTGAAGGACGACTGCCAATGAGAGATGGCATCCGGCTTTCAACGCTGTCACTTGCGGCGGCTACAAGCAGGGGGTTCAGAGGCCTCATCCGCGCAAACCACTTGCCCATCCATGATTGCGACACGAAGCTTGACCGATGTGAATTTTCGATGATCCTAATCAGCATAGATGTTGGTAGCCTGTTCACTTCACCTGAAGGGTTGTCGTAATGTTGTTGGTGGACCCAAAGAGATATTGCATACCTCAACACATACGTCAGCGTCGTCGAGTCTAGAACATCTGGCCAAAACCGATTCAGTGCCAGACATAGTTTGACGTTACTAGTTTCTGATGTCGCAATGCCTGACTTCTAGGTCCGTCCTAGTCACTTAGGCTGTGGTTGCGATCCAAACACCAGCTCTTGATAGCCGCCGACTGATCAAAGATATGACATATTTTGGTGACAATCTGCGTTTGTAAGGCAGTGACCACTGCGGGCCCATCAGCCATGGTGACCCCGTCCAGGTTCATGCTCTAGCCGCACCCGTTAGTTGAATCGAGCAGAGCAGGTAAGGGAGGGCGGCACGGCGCGGTTACTTCAACCTCTGCGAATCATCTGGCGTAAGTGCTGTATAGCCCTGTGAGATGTGGTGGAGCTCGGCCCGCTGCGGTACCAATCTTGAGTAAGTCGTTGCGAAGTGACCGTGCGAGAGTGATGATGATTGTCTAGCGCGAAACTTAAAGATACTGGACCGGGCTGGTCGTTGAGCCGTTCGGAGACACTTGTGAGACCAAAGGGCAGTCGGCGAGTGTGACTCTTAGTATTAACGCCTCGCAACGCTGCTAGTCGCAGTTCATCGGGCGTGTATCCTTTTGAAGTGTGTTGTGCGAAGTGAGGAGGCCGATCACACGGGTGAGTCCACACATTTCGTTCGTATGCCCTACATCATCCTCAGAAAAGGCTCCGATGCCGGCGTGGACTCATTGCGTATCTTGTGTGTCTCTTGATCACGGAAAGTCTCTTGATCACGGAAAGTCTCTTGGAGAGCTGAAAGTCCGGGGTGTGACGGGGACTTCCTTGGTCGTAATGTGAGCGATCGTAGGCACTGAGACAACGGCCAAGGATATGTCCTGTAGTACCATTCTCTGGTATGCTCGTGATGCGTCTCATGGGCATTGGTTTCCTTAGATCTCCCTTCTTTTTTCTAGAGTACGCTTCGACACACCTCCGGTCATTTTACAGTGTTCACAAGAGCTTCCGGCGGAGCCTTCTGAGGCGAGGAGGTTTGCTGTGTTGCAAGCTTGCTGCAATTTCCGCCTGCGCTCGCCATCTCTTCTGCTTCAAAGATCTGTAGCACACATGATAAGGGTGGCTGACATGTCCTGACACTTGGTTGGTCAATTTGAGAACACGTCACGTGATCGCGCGCCAAATCAACATCGCTGGAGGACGCGTCGATGCAACCACATCTCAACTGTCAACATGTCGAAACAGCAGAAGGTTACTCAATACCAGGAGCGCGTTTATACAGCCCTTCAGATGATCCCAGAGGGTCGCGTCACAACGTACGCAGCCATCTCAAAGGCTTTAAACAGCTCTCCTCGCGCGGTGGGTGGTGCGCTACGCGTCAATCCGTTCTGTCCAGAGGTACCATGCCATCGGTGCATCGCCAGTACTGGTGTACGTGTGTCACTATCTGCGTGTGAGTTCCAGTACTGATTTAACAGTTCGTTGGCGGGTACAAGGGTGACTGTGAGAAAGCACCCAGCGGCCAGAACCAGGATTCGAAGCTGCAGCTGCTGAAGGAAGAAGGTGTCTCGTTCAATGCAGATGGATTCTTGGTCGATAAGACATTGCTGTGGGATGATTTTGACGTGGAAAAGTTGAAGTAATTGTGATGGAAGCGTGGAGAGTTGCGTTCGCGAGGCTGAGGCAAGTGGGGGCGGGGCGATCAATCAGAAAGTTTTGGTGCAGCCAACACGTCGGGAAGGAATGCACTGGTAGCAGGTGCTGTTATATCAAGGCTTGCGCACAACTTTGGAAGCCGTCTTCTGCGCACTACACTACAATTGCTTAGCAATCGTCAGACGCAATTGCGCAAATTTGCCACTTGAACATCGGTTACCTGCGAATACCTGAGTTTACAACAACACCACTTTCTAGATTACCGCTGCATCAACTTTTTCACTACTACGTCCGATCATCAGTATGCCGTCGAAGAAATTCTTAAAGCCGAAGCCAAAGGGCAAGGTGAAGCCGCCGGAGCCGGAGACTGAGAACGACTTCCTTGAGGCTGCGGACGAATTCGAACAGGCGGCAGGCAAATGGCGCGCAGGAGACGCCGCGAAGGCTGTTCGCTTCTTTAACCGAGCGATAGATGCGTATAATGAGGGCCTAAAGCGTCATCCTCAATCATTCGATCTTGCCTACAACAAGTGAGTCGTCGCGGTGCCTGCTTGTTCACTCAATGCTAATGGTACTAGAGCGAACCTACAATACACCATCTCAGAAGATGAGCGCATCATCTCACATTTCGGGAACAGGACTGCGCTGTTAGAGGAGACTTTGATGTCGCATCGCTACGCCATCTCACTAAACCCCACAAATACCGACATTCTTTTCAACGCTGCGCAAGTACTTACCTCATTAGCAGAGGCAGGTCTGGAAGCCAGCTCACCAGCAGCCGGAAAGCAAGACGCGAGACCGTTGCTTGAAGAGGCGTTTGATATTCTCACAAAATGTTTAGAGAGCCAACAGCAAGAGTACTCTCAGATGCAAGCCGAAATCGCCAAGATCGAGGCCTCGGGAGAGTACAAGGAGGCTTGGGAGGGTGAGCGTCAGCAGCCAGCGGAGACTCAGGAACAAGACATGGAGACCGAATCGGGGGCTTCTGAAACACCAGGAGACTGGGCTACTGTTGAAGAGCCGCTGACACCAACAAGCATCCTGGAAACCTGCACAGCACAGCTCAGTACCTTAACGACATTACTAGGACTGTACAATCCCGCTACAGATCTATCGAATATAGAGAAGAAAGCACAGGACGGGATAGATACAGCTACAAACAAGATCCCAACACTCATAGACCTCGTCGAAAAGTCGCCCGCTCCGAAAGCCGTCGATGAGCCCAAAGCAGGTCCTACACTCTCCATATCCGCGCCAGAAGAAGCAACCACAACACCCAAAGACGATGCAATACTCGCGGCTGCCAATTTCCAAGCTAGCGTAGCGGAGATGCAATACCGTAGTGCCAGGACAACATCGACAGAGTACGCAGGGACTGTAGAGCAGATATTCGGCAGTCTAGTACAAACTGTGACGCAGAACGCGAGTCCCGATCTCGCAGCCATCAACGTACAGTCCGCATATGCGGATGCCCTCATGGATCTCGCTTCAGCACTAGCAGACGGAACCCAATATACACCATCAGAACCCACATTCAGCACAGACGTCGACATCCAGTGGACAGCTCTCACGCAGACCCAAAATCTGCTCACCAAACTGTCCGGCGCACCCTACACTTCCATTCTGTCTCCGTCACGACTGGCCGATGTCTTCATAGCAAGGGGTGACACTGATCTCTTCCGCTTCCGTATCTCGCTCTTTGAGGGCGCGAAGCCTGCTTGGGCTAAGAGCGGACCGACCCTCGTTTCCAATGCTGGCGTCTTCTACCGAGGAGGCAGGAGCTATGCGGAGAAAGCTGGTGTGCTGGGGGTGCGGAGCACGGCGGATGCTAAGGCGGTTGTAGCTGAGATATTGAAGGCGGTGGCGAGTGGTTCGGAGATGACAAAGGATACTTGGAAGGGGAGGACTGCGGACGTACCGAGAGTTTTGGAGCAGATGGTCGATGAGGGCATCGTGGGGCGTGAGAACGTCGATGGTTTGATGAATTGGGTTTAGGAGTACCGCCAACGTACCACCCCAATCTCGGATTTCCGAGCCTCGCCTTCTGGATAAGGCCGTTCTGGGATCTCTTCTATTGTTGTACGTCTCCAGTTTGCGTCCTTAGCTGCCTGTCTGGATGCTGACAAGCCTGCCTTGTATCCCCTAGAGATGACTTCTACAATGCCAACTTTCTTTTTCGTCCCGTTCGCACCTTGACTCCCATCCTCTACATTCTCATCGCTTTTTGGAGTTACCGGAGCGTCGATTTGGCCAGATGACTGGTACAGACTGAGCTGATCAAAGCTGCCTTTTGAATGATGATTTTTGCGCCGAAGGAGGATCGCTTGACGTGGATCGTGGTGCTTGGGCGCTGGGCTCGACTGGCCAATCCCTTGGTCTTGTCCTATTCCAAGCATCTTGAGCCCAGCGAAAGTCGACGGCTGTGAAACGCTTCTGTCATACTGTTCCGAGTCATCAAGAGAGTGACTGGACCTGTCGCGACCTTTGCTCAGCTCTGTCTCAAAGAACATCGCATTTTCTGTATCCAAGGTGCGGCCTTGCAGGCTGTCTTGACTTTGAAATGCGACATTCTGTGCCCTCAATTGTTCCTCAAGTTGCTTACACCGACGCTGGAGTTCAGCAACATAGTAGCTAGAGCTCCTCAAGTCCCTTTGCAATTCCTCGTTCAGTTCTTCCACATATCCGTACGTCTCTCTACTTCCCGGTAGCTTCGTCGTGTAATCGTGTAACGTAGACTTCAACTCCTCAATTCCCAAATCTCTTTCGAGTATCTTTTCTCTATACTTCGTGTGTAGATCATCAATCGTTTCATATGCACGTGCGTTTTGCTGTTCATGCAAAACCAGAGCCTCTCTTGTCTCTTCTTTTTGTTTCTTGAGTTGTTCGGTCAACTGGGTGGTCTTTGCAGCATCCTCTACCATCTTGCTGAGCTGTAGTTGAGGTACCGATGACCTTTTGCAACAATCACCAAAGACAGACGGCGTCGATCCTTCCATTGGGTATATATCGTGGGCTGCAATGCCATGTAGAAGCTCAATGGCCTTGGGCCGGCGCTCGGGATCTGCTGAAAGCATGAGGTTGATCTCGCATTCAAGGTAGTGTTCTCTTCGGGAGAAATTGGTATTATCCGTTTTCAGCCACGTCGAAAGATGGTTCACATTCGCGTGGTATGCTGGGTTCGTCTCTCGATAAGCTCTCAAGAGTTGTAGCGAGCCTCTTCTGTGCAAAGATAGGATTTCGAGAAGAACACAGCCTAGGGAGAACATATCAGCTGATCTTCCATTACGCTTCCATGCAGCTACTCTGGCACCTCAGTCAGTACTTGGGCAAGAAGATAAAGTAAGAGGCTTACTCTGGAGCAAAATAGCGGGGGGTTCCACGCTCGTTATCCGTCGCGCTCTGAGAAAGCTGGGAAAAGTCGGTTGCACTACCGAAGTCGGTTATCCACAATTGACTTTCCGCAAGAAGGATATTGGATGGCTTCAAATCCTTGTGTCGAATCTTTTGACTATGTAGATAGGCGATTGCGGACACAAGGCAGCCGATTCTAGAGTAAACGATTGACGCCCAGTTAGCTCCATTGCCGTCCGGGAAGTCGTAATGGAGAGCCTTTAGACGAGCTTTAACGTCAGAGTCGAGAGAGCGTCGCGCCAGCAGGGAGCTATCTCTATTTTCGTTCGCAGCCAGAACCTTGGACCAAGCCTCGACATCTTCGAAGAAAGTGTGTAAGTCGCATATAGCCACTGGGTATAAGAGAATTCCCAGATGTTTTCGTCGTACATATGTACCGACAAGTTGTACAATGTGTACGTGAGATAATCGCTTCAGTATCTCGACCTCTTTCCTCTCTTGTTCTCCAATGCGTCGTCTAAAGAGTGTTCTCTTGTGGGCGATCTTATAACCTTGGATAGTTGTCTCGTAAACGTCGCTCATTGCTCCTCGACCGAGAAATCGTCCTAACGATGTACGTGTTAGGGTGACTGACATCAAAAGTTCCCTGTGTGTGTACTTGCCTTGCACGATAGGAACAGTTTCCTTGTCGCCGAAGTCAACATGGGATCCTCTACCCGTTTGGGACCAATCTTCAATATTGATCTGATCTCTGCTAGGAGAAGTCGCGTCCTCAACCGGAGTCTCGTTCGCGATAAGACCCTTCATCATATTGGTCGAGCCTTGTGTCTTTTTCGCTTCGGCACGTATGTCAGGCATGCTGCTTATGACTGTCGAGAAGCGCCGCAAGATGCGACTGGGGAGTGATGCATAAGGGGAGATCGCAAGAATCAGCTCTAGGTAGCATGAAAATGTTGTTGTAGTATCGAAGAAGGCAGATGTAAGTCGCGGCTTAGGTGAGCTGCGCCTTCCCCAAGAGGCTGTGAGGAGAAGGCTGCAGATGAAAAGCATCACAGCCAATCGCACATAGTGTACGCAAATGGCCCGCCCCCAAACTTGAGGCGTTACTCCCAACAAACCCATACTATGCAGAATCAGGGGACAATATGGGGTAAATCGATAATCACGCATAGAGTTGGCGGTGTCGCAACGTCATAGCCTATATTTCCTGGGGCAGATGACTGCGCATGCATGCTATGGTCTTATTCACACCATCGTGCATCCTCAAATCTTACAACGATATTTTCCCCGTCTCTTGTCTTCCCTCAAAGCCACAAGGCTTCGCATATGAAATAAGTGGCTGTACCCAAAGTCGGATTTGCTCATCTTTGTCCAGCTAGCCTCCGCTCCTGGACCTCAGACAAAGCCCGGCTACCGCTCAGGAAAGCAACAACTCCTACGACAGCAGCCGCTGGCAGAGTCTGGAAGAGGTTCCAGGTGGTGTAGTACAGGAAGAAGATGCCCTCCATCGCCAGTATGGAGCCATAAAACAGCCCGTGCGACACGGGTGCGTTGCCCAGAGCCTTGCTCAGGTGGCTGGTGTTCGCGCCCAGTGTAGCCCACACACCGAGAAGAATGGGCAGCGCAGCAGCAACAG